CCCCCCCCGCCTGCTATTAATTAGAAGAAAATTGCAAGTAGAGAAAATGAATAATTTAAAGTTACAATAAAGTAATTTAAAAGTGAAAGAAAGTAAACTTACAAGAGAAAGTGAAATTTTAGAGACTCATTCCATCTAAAAATTATCTTCATATTACGCGTTACAATTTTTTACTGGAGTTATTTTCAAATTATTTTATATGAAAAATAGTGTGGAATTAAAAAATTAAAATTACATTTTAAAAAACTACATTAAAAGATCTACAATACAAAACTAGAGATGACCAGACTATATTATTTTATCAAATGAACAATGAAAATAGACCAATAAAGTAACAAAATTTAATTTTGAAAATAGTGAACAAGAAGATAATTTTTGAACAGAAAGAGTATTTCGTATAAAATTTATTTTTTATAACTTTACATTGATTTTAAAAAGAAGAGGGGTAATCTTTAATTTGGTGTAAGATAGTGACACCAACTCAATTGGCGCCCCTACCACTACAAGAATTTGTTTCGTCTGCAACGGAAATCTGCTACAGACTCATTTCCGTAGCAGATCTGCAACGAATCAGCGACGGATTTGAAATCTTTGGAAAAAAAATAATCTGCGACGGACTCTATTTTTCCGTCGCAAATTAGCGACGAATTATTTGTGCCTGTCGCAAATTTAAGTTGGTCAACTTTTGACCTGATAATCTGCGACGGAGGTATATATCCATCGCCGATCCGTCGCAGCGTCTGAAGTGATAATCGATATTGAAATTTTCCCAGCCATTCGTCTTTCACTTCAACCCTATCCCATCTCTCTCCCGGTCAGCCGTCCTCCACTCCTCCGCCAGCCTTCAACGCCATTCCTCGCCGCCGATGAACGTTCTCGCCAGCCACGGAAATTGTCCGTTGCAAATTGACAGTTTTCTTGTAGTGTAGAGTGTTTCGATCTCAAATGTGATGGTTCTTACTCCTTTAATCTCCTTTATTAACCTAACCCCCTCAGCCTAACACTAACGCACTCTTGCACCCACTCCAATTGCGCCATCTAATATTTTACTTCCTACGTCCCTGAAACATCTTCCTTTATTGACTTTTTGAAGATTTAAGGGAGAGATATTTTTGCGTTGACTTTTCAAAAATATTTTTGATGTGATGAGTAAAAGTAAGATGATATGTGTAAATTACGTAGTATTAGTAAAAAAATATATGATGTAATAGGTAGGGTATGAAAAAGTAAGGGGTAAAAATGATTTTAGTAGATAAATGAAACATCTTTTGTAGATATTATAAAATGAAAGGGAAAGATCTTTTAGAGACAGAGGGAGTATTAACTCTATGGGTTAAATTTTGACCAAATTTTGGATGGTGTAATTGGAGGAGGTGCGGTGGTCCATTAAGGCCAGACTAGGGTGAGGGGTTAGCGGGAAGTCATGGATGGTAGGAATCGTTCCCGTAGGGTCGGCAATTGAATTGGTGTCACAATCTCGAAGCAAATTAATGTTGTAAGATTACCCATCCTCTTTTTTAAAATGGGGGTGCTATCATCAAAGCCATGTACTCGTAGTTTGTTTAATTTCTGAATCCACCACTCATTCTCTATAACTTTTGCTCATTTTTATTACATGTAGTTTTTTAATTATAATATGCAGTTTGTATTTTTTTTTTCTTTTATATTCCATCTACCCAAAATTATATATTATTTTGGTTTATAATATTTGACCCAAATTATTTAAATCTCTTTATATCTTTTCCAATCTCTTCCATTCTCGATGTTTTTCCTATTTTCATAGAATCAAACTTTTGTTTCTAGCAGGCAATGTCCACCTAGAAATAGATACTTTCTTCATCTCTAAAAGATTATTACAATTTGATTTTTTTTAATCAAATTGTGACATCTTTTGATTATGAATTACATACTTCATCCGTCCCAAATTATTTGCCACATTTGCTTTTTCAACACTCCCGGAAATTTTTGTTTATTTTTACATTTTCATTGGTTATTTGATAAAATAAAATATTCTTGACACCTCTTCTTTCAAAGAACTTTTCATGTAGTTTTTTGATATGTAATTTTTATTTTTTATTTCTTTACCAATATGTAAATAAAATGAATTGAAAAAACTTGATATTTTGTCTCGGTAATAGAAATGTGACAAATAATTTGGAACGGAGGTAGTATAGTTTAAAATAATTAAGTATTACAACAAAATTGATATTTCAAAACTATATTTTAAAATAGACTCAATTTTACTAAATTTATATTATACTAAATATACATTTTCTATATTTTATTATTAAAAAATGTTTCAACTTGACCAAAAAAATTAAATTGTAGCAATCTTTTTAAAAGAGAACAAGAAAAAGTAAACATAATCTCATTAATGTTACATCCCTTTCCAACATCACTTTTTAGGAAAATGTTAGGGTGTCACCACATGGGTGCTACCATGGGTACACTCATGCTTCACATAGATAAACACAGACGATAATTGTCTGTGTCGCACAAACAATTATCGTCTGTATTTGTCTGTGTGAAGCATGAGTGCATCTATGGTAGCACCCACGTGGTGGCACCCTAGCATGGTTCCACTTTTTAAGGCATACACGTTTGTGTGAGAGTGTTTAGTACGGACTATTTACAACTCAAATCTTTCAACTATGTAGTACTCCCTCCGTTTTCAAAAACACTTCCTCTTTCATTTTTTCCATTTCCAACAAAACACTTCTCTTTTCTATTAAAAAACCACTTTTACCCTTACTTTTTCATACCCTACCTATCACATCATACTTTTTCTCTAATAATCTATCCATCACATCTTACTTTTACCAATCACATCAGGGGCAAAATTGGAAATCAACTATAATTTAATACTTCCTTATTTTTGCCCCAAATCCAAATGGGAAGTGTTTTTCCAAAAGGAGGGAGTACATTTTTGCAGTATACTACTCCGCATTACCCCGGAGTATTTTGCAAGTAAAAACCCGGACAAGTGAAGTACTCCGTACAAGTTTACCGCTGGAGTATTTAATTCTCTTTAGGGTAAGTTGGTAACACTACTCCATTTAATTCTCTCCAGTCTTTGCCATCAATCTATTTTTAAAATCTAATTTATTTTTTCTCAATGATCATCCAGTCGGGTCTGAAGGAGCCCTCGGAGATATGACTCATCTTTTATAAAAAAACAATAATTCTTAAATTATGAAAGATTTTGGCCTTATTTGGGAACAACATTTTCGATTAGCATTAGCATTTTGGATACAAATTTAGTGGTCTAGAATAATTTTAAAAATGCTAACGCTAAAAGCTACAGACAGATAGCCTTTTTAAAATGATAATGGTAATCTCTAACACTGATGTCAAACGGGTTCTTTGTTGTATTTCACACTTGGGTTCTCGAGAGCCAATCTACTTTGTTGTCAATAGAATTTTTATTAATACACTTAAAGTAATTGAAAAATTAATATTGCCCCCAATAAAAAAATAATTTCCCCCCAATTAGAAGAAATTTGCAAGCAGAAACAATGAATAATTTAAAGTTAAAATAAAATTATTTAAAAGTAAAAGACTTCAAATTACTAGAAAATAATTTGAATGTAAACTTACAAGAGAAACTAAAATTGAGTTTAGTTATTTTTTTTGCTCTAACATTGAGCTATTTAATCAAGATATTTATTATACCTAACTACAGTTCAATTGGCCAGATAAATACATATTTATTGCATTTTTTAGAGGAAAAAGAAGAAGAAAAACTCAATAGATATATTCGAAGATGCTCAAAGACCAGCGGAGGACAAGGAGGACTAGCAAAATAGATCATACCGATGCCACAAAAATACAACATGGGAAGATTGAAGATATGATTCGAAGAGATTATTTACTTTCTTGAGTTGATGATTCTCACAACTCGAAAAATGGAGGACTTCATGATGACAAATACTGTTTGGCCCGGACATCTCGGTTTGAATTTTCCAATTAATATTACCACAATTATCATCACCATACACTAGCCATAAATTACTCCTCCCACCAAAAATATAGTCAACTCACTTTTGTGAATTATATTCATCATTCTCTCATTACCATTACTTATCTCCATAACTACTCCATCGTCTCTCACTATAAAAGAAGCCCTTCACCTTCAGTATGGGGAGACCAATTTCCATATTTTCTACTACACTACTATGTAATTATACTCTCACATTACTTAGAAAATACTCATTGCATTGTTAATTCTTTCTAGAGCTAAAACGCTCCACCATTGGTTGGAATGCCAAGATTATGTATTATGTACTACTCTGATATTAATAAGATCTTCTTGTTGGCATCCGGAAAAGACCCGTAGTTTTCTCCCAATCTGGGTTTCCATGTCAAAAACAGTTTATTAATATTTTTGGTAATTGTTATACTCGTTTATCATTTTGACATGTTAAAAATGATAAAACCGATCCAAACAACTAACACCATTAGAAGTTGAGGAAAATACAAAAACTATTATAACTATTAACTAATACTACTATAATTGTTACTCCGTATTATTATTATTGTTGTTGTTGTTGTTTTTTAACAAAAACTACTTAACTTGTAAAAGACAGCAATGTTTTTCATAATTGGGTTCTCGAGGGGTCAATTCACATTGTTCACAGTGATATTTTTTCAATTAATACATTTAAATTAACCAAAAAATTAATATTGCTCCCAATTAAAAAAATAATTCCCCCGCCCTCCCAATTAGTTTAGAAGAAAATTGCAAGGTAGAAAAAATGAATAATTTAAAGTTACAATGAAGTAATTTAAGAGTGAAAGAAAGTAAAACTTACTAGAGAAAGTAAAATTTTAGGGACTCCTTGATGAGTAATCTTACACCATTCATTTGGTGTAAGATAATGACACCAACTCAATTGGTGCCTCTACATTGTTTCGATCTCGAATGTGATTGTTTCTAGTTTCTACCCATCTAATCTCTCTACTAAAGCTAATCCCCTCGGCCTCGCACTAACACAACCCCACACTCACTTCAATTACACCATCTAAAACTTTATTGACTTTTGGAGGTTAAAATTTCTTAACCAAATTCTGGATTGTGTAACTGGAGAGGGTGCATTAGGATTGGATTGGGGTGAGAGGATTTAACAGGAGGATAAAAATCGTTAATTTTAGGTTCGTAGCACTATAGGGATGACAATTGAATTGATGTCACAATTATACACGGTCACACTAAATTAATGTTGTAAGCTTATCCTCCCTCTTTTAAAAAATGAGAGTGCTATCACCAAAAAACTCATACTCATAATCTTTCTAATTCTTGAATCCACCACTCATTCTCAATAACTTTTGCTCATTTTATGTTTTGGTTGACTATTTTGTAAAACAAAATATTTAGGTCACATGTAATTTTTATAATATTTAGTTTGTAAAAATTATGTCATGGACAATGTCCACCCTTACTATATTATCACATTTTTATTCCAAAAAAGGTGAAATTGCTCACTTCGAACGTCCTCACTCATGCCCGTATTTTCTCATATTCTTAATTATTAGCATCAATCAATTCAATCAACTTTTTTATTGAAATCTTAAATAAGTTAATTTGATGACTTACAATATGAATATTTATTATTTTAGTCAAAACAAATGATGTAACTCAAAAAAGACTCCTAACACAAAATGTGTATTATGGTACTCTTTGGGAATAACGTTAGAAATTCCGTTAGCGTTTTGAAAAGACTATTTACGTGCAACGTTTAACGTTAACGTTTTCAAAAAAATCTGCACTATTAAAACTTTATCTAAAATGCTAACCCCAATTTCTAACGATATTCCCAAACATGTCATGTATATACTCTCTCCCTCTTTGAATGTACTTTAATCTTTTCTTCTTCCAACATCTAAATGTTCATTTTACATTTTTTATTTAAAAGTAAATAGTTGACTATTAAACATTGATTAACCATTTTAAAGGAATAACCATTTTTTTGTTAAAATACTAACTCGATAAAGGAATAACAATATGGAGGTTTGGGTTTGGTTTTTTTGTTTGATTTTTATACAAAACCAAAACCCGAATGGAAGGTTAGTGTTCTGTTCGATTCAATTTCACAAAAAAATGTGTCGAGTGCCAACAAAAATCTAGAAGATTCTAAATACTCCTAAAGACATCATTTGTAAATATATGGATAATTCGCGTTGTTTGGTATAATACTTTCATTTCCATTATAACACCAAATATTTTTATGTAAATATGTAAATTACTCGTATCAATGTTAAATGTTAACATAGTTATGTATTAGGATTAGTTACTGGTGTTAATATTATTAGGTTTTTTAAAGTTTATAATATGGTTTAAAATGGTTAATTAATAGTTAAAAAATAATTTTAATTAACTAGTCAACTATTTACATTTAATTGTATATACATTTTACATGTATATACAATTTCTTTTTTGTAATGAATATTTCATTTTTCAATTTTAATGAATATTTCACTTTTCAATATTTTAAATATCTTCATAAAGGTTAGGGGTTGTTTTACATTTTATAAGAATCTTAGGACTTGTATCAAAAAATCAATAAATTCGAAGAAGTTATCATTGCAGTGACGGAAGGTAGCTCCATAAACAGAACGTCAACCAGAAGAAGAAGAAGAAACGAAACAGAATCTGGAGAAAGGGAGAGATTATTTTCAATGTTGAAGGAGTGGAAGAAGCTAGAAACATAATTTAGCTTTCGGATTCAGTTTTAAATTCATAGTCCGCACCTTGTTTTCACAATTCTATCGTCTGGAGAGATCGCAATCGCAACAAGGTTAGCGATTTGTTCTCGTTTTTGTTTTTTTTTTGAATAATCCAGCACCGAATATCTGTTTTAGTTGCGTATGCGTTTTTGTATTCATAACTTTTCGGATGTATTCGTTGTATCTATTCCAAATCCCTGTTTGATTGCGTCTGTGTTTCTCTGATTGTTATTTTTGAATGATTTCTGTATATGTTTTTCAATTCAGTTTGCTGTGATAATTTAATACCGATGGATGATTATGATTGATATTTGAAATTTATTTTTGAATATGAAATGGAGGCCTTTGCAAAGGAAGATGTCATTGTTCTTTGGTATTGCATTTTTGGATGACTTTAAGATTCTCTCCAGCTCTCTTTTGATTGCTGTAATTGAGATGATAAACATCTTGTAATTGATGAAATATGTATCCGTTTTTCTCTTCTTAATGTTATATATACAGACTACGGAGTATATGCTTCTGCAATCGTTTTTGGGGATGGGGCGGTGTGGTTTCTGAAATCTATTGTAGTCTCTCTAAATTCAATTAGTCACTATTTACTGTGAATAAATAAATTTGACATTATCATATAATAGAGGATTACATGTCATATTATCGATGTCTCTTCGATGAAATCCCCATCTTGGCACCCTAGACTTGGGTAATTCTGGGATGTTTGCTACAACATTTCTACTATTAAATAAAATCTCGTGGGACATCTACACTTGTTTCTTCTCTTTGATATATACTCGGTAGTTTTTTTCCTTTTTGACTTTTTTTGCAGAAATAAGTTTGTGTCTACAATGGCAAACTCCAAAGGTCCATCAAGAACCGGAGATGTATTGTGCAGTGGGAAGAATTCATTGCTTCCCCCTAAAAGTCCATACACCTCCATATCTCCATCTTATATTGAATATATTCCACCTATTATGCAAAAAGGCCTCCCAAAACCTAGAGAAGGAAATTCACACCACCAGCGTACTTCATCTGAAAGTTTTCTAATGGATGAGCAACCATCATGGCTGGATGATCTTCTTAATGAGCCGGACAGCCCTGTACATAAAGGAGGCCACCGCCGTTCATCCAGTGACTCGTTTGCATCCTTTGCAAACTCTGGTTACATAGTTCAAGGTCATAACAAGTTCCCAAACATGTTGCCCATCCCTTCATGGGGACCTCAATTTGATTACCATGGAGATGGTTATGGTTCAGGCATACACAGGAGTAGGACAAAAGACATATCTCCTAATAAAATCACGCATCCCAGTGGCATTCCCTCACCTAGAGAAATTGTTGCTCATCAAAAGTCAGAATCTTCATATTCGCCACAAGAAAGCAATATGGGAAATGTTAATCTGGATGTTCTTGAATCTCACCCGAATGGAACAAATAGTTCTGTGGAAAATGAATCTTCTGAAGCAAAGATCTCTGCTTCGGAAACAGACATGAAACGTGCAAAACAGTACGTCTTGCAATATATTTTTAGTTATTTTTTCCCTGGTCTCTTGTTTGATGCATCGTTGTGTCTCATATATTAGTGGTTTTTGGTGCACAGTTTTTTCATTGTTTTTGATAGCTAATTAGAAGTGTGAATGTTTTCCACTTTTTTCCTACAACTATTAGGTCACCCCCACTTTTGTCCCAAAATTTTGTTTTTTTCACCAACTGGTGCCTGACTATGGATTATTGTCACCTTGATCCGTCTGGCCACTCATCTGCCCAAAATCAACTTGAAAATCACCCTATCGTTGTGAAAAACCTATGGATAACGTTGGTGTTTATAACCATAGTATCCTACAAGGTGCTGTATTTTTGAGACACACATGATTTCTAGTCGTTTTTAGCCATACCTGGCTAGAAAGACCAAAAACCATAAGAAATCAATACTCCACCAAAATGAAAAAAAAAATGTCAGACCCCCAAGATGGGGGGGGGGGGGTAATAGTTGTGAGGCCCAAAATGGAAATTTTATTTGGAGGACTGTCATAAGTCATACTATCTCACAATGCAGTTATATTGGTCAGGAATCTTCTTTTGTTGAAAAGATAATATAGTGGAACATTTGCAACAAGAGAAATATTTCACACTTCAATCAACCTAAGAGATTGCTATGTTATGCAGGCAGTTTGCTCAACGTTCACGAGTCCGAAAGCTGCAATACATAGCTGAGTTGGAAAGAATCGTCCACAGTCTACAGGCATGTGCAATTTAAGCTCAACAGGAGATTTTACTTGCATGTTGAGGGTTTCTATATACAGTGTTTCTGGTATTTCAAACTGTCATGTTGTTCCATTCTTTTTTTACAGGTGGGGGGTTTTGAAGCTTCAGCTCAGCTTGAATTTATGAACCAGCAAAATCTTATTTTAAGCATGGAGAATAAAGCTTTAAAGCAGCGTTTGGAAAGCTTAGCTCAAGAACATCTTATAAAGTATCGTAAGTTACTATTTTCACTAGTTCATTTCTTTGGTGTCTAATTACCTAAGGAACATTTGGTTCATAATTTGAGAGATAATCACTTATATTGTCAGATTGGCAAGGACAAACTCAGAATAATTAACTCCTCTTTATCAAATATAAAATAAAATAATACTTCGTACTAGTAACTAATAAGATATTAAGTTTGACAGTAATGTAACATTGGCCTATATGATATGATGCAATATGTTACGGAGTATATATCTAGGTAATGCCGCATTGCCATATCCAAACAATTTTATATGATACATCACCTTGATTACACATACCTAGGTAAATGTCATATAACTTTGAAACATCCCCCCCCAAAAAAAAAGCACACGGAGCTCCCAAATTGAGCAAAAATGGTGACGAGTTTCATTGACTTTGGTCCTGACTCGTACCTAGCCCATTTTTTTGATAGTTTGTTCTCCTTTTGTTATTGGATTTGAGAAAAAAAAACGGGGACAGTCATGAAATTATTCAAAAATTTATACTGTGAATGCAATGTGCAGTGGAACATGAAGTGCTAGAGAGAGAGAAGGGACGGCTCCAGACTTTATATCACCAACAACTTCAAACACTTGCTCAACCAAAAAAGAGACCGTATTCTGGCCACCGGCTTACCAAGAGCGTAGACTTTGGCAAGCAATTCGCTAACCTGTCTTTGGAGTAGAAACAGTGCCCTTCTCTGGTCAACGCCGAACTTGACCTGTACATAATATATAGGATGTCTACAGATTCCTCTGACCGTGGCTTCGTTGACGATTATGCTGTTGAGTGGGAAGAAGGTCTTGTCTCCAAGTTGCAAAACCCCATCCCCTCTTCCATGTTTGGCTGGCTGCATTTTCGCATCTGCAAGTAAATCAAGTCTCAATTGTATCTTATATTTCAATCCTTTTCTTTTTTAAGTTTAATGAGAAATGGTTGGGTCACAAACAAAAAAGACACAAAATTCACAAACTTACGCTTCATGAACTCCACTTTAAAAATAAAATGGTCTAAAAAAACTAAAAAAAGTGCAAGTTTAAATTCGCCAAATGCGAGTTGGTGATTTTGTGGCTTTTTGTTTGTGATTGTTTCGTACATCAACTTGTCAAATGATCATTCTGTTCATCAATTCCCCGTGTTTCTTTTTTTTTCCCCTTCTTTGTTTTTGAAGGGAAAGAAATAAACTTAATGCAGCTTGAAGTTTGAACTTTGATAATTGTATTATTACTATTATAGAAAAAGGGCATTTAGATTAAATATAAAATTATATTAAAAAAAATCACAGTAAGTTTTTTATATTGTGGATTATTGCAATTGGAGTTGGAGTCTAGTAATCAATCTTTTGTGAGATGGGGCTGTGGTTGGAAACTTTGTGATTAATGTTTGCATTTGGATACGTTTTTAATGGTATGAATAACTTTGTAAGTATAAAAACTATGTACTATTTCTAAAATGTTAAGCTTATGGTAAGTTAATGCCAAACAAAGCTGTAAATCCATATGGTTTATTGTTATATGATAGAAGTGTTTTTAAATATGAAAATCAGTATTTGGTCATCTAAAAACTTATTTCAAAAAAAGAAAAGGAAAATACACATCTTTGCAACATGTAAATGGTGATTTCATAGGTTCCCCTATCATTTTTGGGATGTATGCACTACCTAATTGGGTGGTAAAGAAACCGAATGAAGTTGAATTAGTATTTGAATATAATTTGCTAGAATTGTTTAGAATATAAATTCAATTTACCAATTCTAAATTAGATTTTTATTAGTTCAATATTCAAATAGTTAATTAGTAAATCATAAATGAATATTCAATTGGTATTAATCATAATTTAAGTCAAAAATCACGATAGTATTTAGTTCTTTAATTTACATATTACATCTAAAAAATAATGATGCATTTGTTTAAAACAAAATGATAGTAGTAGTTTTTGAAAAAAAAACATGATATGTAGGCATTTCACAAAGTATAACTACTACAAATAATACTTCGTTTAATCTAGATTTTATCTTAAATGAATTTTATCAAATTACGCTGATACTTGAAAACATGATGTGGAGAAGCTTTGAGATAGCTTCTTTGCCACTATGCCAAAATATTTTAACATTTTTGAAGAGTTTTAATCGCGTGCATAGTGTGTTAAATAAAATAATTTAAATGCACATTATATTAGATTCCTTTGTGTGTATTCATATACGGAGTATATTTGATGGATTAAGCTCTATGTTCCCCAACATTTATACTCCAACTTGTACCTTCAGGTTTGCACCAACATTTTGTGTTGGTGTAAAACTAATTTTTGTTAATGCACCAACATTTTGTATCAGTGCAATTTTTTGTTAACACACCAACACATGTGTCGGTGTAAACTATTAGAATGTTTGTGCATAACTATGATGTACAAATGGTGTACATATTTTGGTGTAAGTGTAGCATGGTCCATATTTGATACATTTCAAAATTATTGTGTAGTTCGACTTCTTTTGATTATTTTGACTACAAATAAAATACGAGGTATAATTTTGTACTCAATAAAATGTAGTAATATTCCACAGTATGGAGTATACTTTTAAAATACTTTTGATTTACGGAGTATAAAGTTGTAAATTATTTTTTAAACTTAATTCATTGTATAAATATGTAATGTTAAAATTTACTACCTCGTCCTAGTGTATTTATCTAGTTTGACTTTTTCGAGTCAAAACGAATAAACTTTGAGCTCTAATTACTCCTAATTTGTATTGAATTGAATATAATAAAATAAAATTATGAAAGTCCTCAATACAATAAATCTAATAAAATTATTTTTGTGTCAAAATGCAACACACCCGGACAGAGGTAGTAATAAAAGTCGAAAGAAATTCTTAGTAGCAATACACCGGGCCCAACTTATCAGGCCAGGCTTCAACTGGACTCGGCCCAACAGTTCTTCGTTAACCCTAAATATACATATTCCCATATAACGCTAAACCCTAACCATTCTCCTCCATTCGACAACCGGCGTTCTTCCACTCCCACTCAGTCCCAGGTAAATCTCCATCTCCATTCTAAGCTTTCCTGTAGATCCTGATGCGCATGAAACCGAAACCTGGAGATCGAGTTTTGAAATCCAGTTTTGAGTTTTGTTTTAATGTCATAATTCACCACAGAAGTAAGAAGCACTTTGATGCCTGATCTTGCTTTTCTTTTATGTGAGCTTAATGAAATTTCTCTCGAATTTGTGATCAGGCAAGCCGAAGAGTCTTGCGATTTAACATTTTACCGACGAAAATGTCTGGGTACGTTATTTATTGGATTTTAGGTTTTCTTATTTACTTTCGATGTTTATGTTAGAATTGTAGAAGGCTTGCTTGTCTGTTGTCTATATAGTTGCACGAAGAAAAGAATGCAGTTAGATTTCTATGTCAAGTGGGTTTATTCTTACCATTTCTATTTTGACTCATGTTTTAGTTGTAGTGGTTCCTACTTCTAACCATAGGGGAGGAGGTAAGCTGTCCAATGGTGCACAGTAGGGAACTCAAAAGTTTATGCTTAGATGAGTTGTGTGAATATATCCATGCTCATATATCATAATATTGAGAAAAAGTATTTCCTTTGCTTAATAAAAGGAACCATATTTTAATTTGGTAATTGTCTATTGGAATTCAGCTGCTATGACTTGAACTTCTCGGGGATACTTTTTAGGCAAGCAGTCTTTAGATTGATGTTTTGGAGTTTGAAGCACATAGGAAGCTGTTAAGCTGAAGTAGTGTTTGAATATTTTGTGTTATGCTTTTTCTAATGTTAAATAAAAATAATTTCAGAGAGGAAGGAGGTCCAGTTGCAGTCCAAGAGGCCCCTGCTGCAGCTCCTATTGGGGAGCCGATGGACCTTATGACTGCACTGCGCTTGGTTCTGAAGAAGTCCAAGGCCCATGGGGGTCTTCTTCGTGGGATTCGTCAAAGTTCTAAGGCAATCACAAAGAATAAGGCCCAACTTTGTGTCTTGGCAGAGGACTGTGATCAACCAGATTATGTGAAGCTGGTGAAAGCACTCTGCGCTGATAACAGTGTGAAGTTGATTACAGTTCCTAGTGCTAAAACTCTCGGGGAGTGGTGTGGTGTAAGTAGTTTTGGTTCTTAAGAAATTACAATACAGTTGGCCAAAATGTATCCCACTACTTATTGGGCTTTGTCCCGGAAGCATTGTTTGGAGGGAGTGTTTTGTCCACCCACTATTCATTTCTTTTCAAATGAAAATTTGTTCAGTTTATACATTTAATTCAATTCTTACTGCTATTTTTTGCAGTTGTGCAAGATTGATTCCGAGGGAAAGGCACGGAAGGTGGTTGGTGCATCGTGTGTTGTTGTGGAGGTATGAATCACAGGAATGTTTTAGAGTATACGTGGCATATGTTTAAACATCAAACTATGAGGGTGTTAAGGGCTGATTTTCAAAGTTCTTTGCAGCTTTTGCTCTGAATAGAAGCAGTGTGGAAAGTTGGAATTCCTGATTTCAAAACTATGTTATAAAATTACCACTTCAGAAACAAACACCTTCTGTATAACTGCCCTATCCTTTTACGTAGTATTTCTTCAATTTAGAACTAAGATTCTCCTTTGTTTTTGCATTTTTGGTCTTTGATGTTAAAATTCTCTTTTTCTTTTAAGCAATGTTTTTGTGTTTGATATTCATTTGTTTCATTTCTATATAAATCTCAATTTTTATTCCTAAAGTGCTGCAAGTAAGTGGTTTGTATTGGAACAATGTAGCCATTTGTATCTCTGTCCTACTCATAGGTTGTACGTGTTTCTTGTCTCGGTGCTTGTCATTTGTTTGTGCTATTATCATGGTTACTTGTCTTAAGATTATGTTTGAGCCATGTCTTTTGGAAACTTCCTAGTAGTGGTAATGTCCTTCACGCATCGCTCTCTAGATCCTACTGTTTCGGATATTACTCGGTTTGTTTGTTGTTTCTCATCTTAGGTCATAACAGGTGATTTTCCAAGATATAACCAAATCAAAAGAGATTGTGACATTTAATCATTGTGTTGATTTTTTTGCAGGATTACGGTGTGGAACACGAGGGCCTTGACATTATCAAGAATCTGGAGAAGACCCTTTAGATAAATATTTTGCATTTTGGAGTGAAATATGAAGTTCTGTGAGACATTGTTTTGAACTTGGGTTCTTTTTTTAAAACTTATTTGTAGCTTACTTTTCATGAGATCTTGAGAAACTGAGGATTTCCATTTAGACTATCATCTGCTTGGTTTTCAGAGTTAGCAAAATCCAATTCCCGTTTTCATTTCATTCGTAGTTCATCTGCTTGATTCATTTCATTTGCAATTTTGGTTCCAGTTTCTATCCATCTGCCGGTGGCTGGGAGAACACTTGTTAGATTGAACTCTTCTTGTGATACATTGATATAAGAGGCACGGAATTTTGTACTCCATCTATCAATAAAACATTCTAGGTACCACACATAGAGAAGTAACCAAATGTTTATAGTGGTATGATCCTTTTGCTCCTTTCTTATATTGGAGAGAAGTGACTTTAACTTTGGGGCATACCCATCAAGTATATGAATTGAAAAAGAATGCTTACATTCTATTGATCTACCATAAAATAATTTGGAAAAATTATGTTAAATAATTTAATACTCCCTCCGTCCGGGAATGATGTTCCCATTTTGACTTTTTTTTATTTTTAAGGAGCATTGACCAAGGGAGTAAATAGACCAAAATGCCCTTCCACCCATCCCTACCCCCAAATACAGCTTCTCTGGCAGCCACCACCGGCCCAAAGCTCACTGCCGCCAGCCTCTATCTCCACCAGACCAAACGAGTTTACCTCAGCCGCTGTCTCCTACCTTCGCCCATAGCCTCCACCATGACTATATGTGGGAGAAAGAGAGAAAAAAGGGGAAGAAAGAGGACGAGGAGAAGAAGAAAAAGATAGATCTATTGCAGATCTAAAAGTAGCCCCAACATTGCCGCCATGTACAAACCCACCACCGTCGGCAGCCCTACCATGGCCAGAAGACTGGCCATCGCCGGCCACCACCGTCGCCATCGCCGGCCACCACCGTCGCCATCGCCGGCCGCCATGGGTATGTGTAAATCTAGATCAAAGATGGAGGAGAAAAAAGAATGGGAAGATAAAGAAGAATAAAGATTATAGAGAGGAAGAAGAAGAAGATTGAAGAGATGAAGAAGAAGAACTGAGATGGGGGAGAAGAGAGAAGAAGAAAAAGAAAAAATGTGGGGATGAGGAAAAGGGGTGGCGGAGAAAGAAGAAAGAAAGAGAAAAAAAGAAAGGAAGAAAAAGAAGAAAAGAATAAAGGAGTAATTTTGGAAGAATAGAGGAAAAAGCGTACAATGGGAACATCATTCCCGGACAAAAAAAACGTACAATGGGAACATCATTTCCGGACGGAGGGAGTATTTTTTTTACGTTTTTTTTAAAATAATCTTACCCGGAGTACCTTTTATTGTTACCAAAAATAATCTTACATTTTGGCATGTGTGCGAGTTTTGGAATGCAGTTGCATAGATAGCGGACAATTAACATAAGTTTTGGAAAATGTTTATTTTTACAAATAAATAGAAGATGAGATTATTTTAGATAAATTTACTTTTTTGTTCTTTTTAATTTAAAAAAATGGGTTTTATTATTATAATTAGTACTCTTATTAGAGATTTGTCCTGATTTTTTTAAAAAATATACTCACTCCGTCCCGTTTTAAATCGCATGTTTTGACTTTAGGCCATATTTAAAGAAGAGAAAAAATAGAGATGACTTTTCGAAATTGTCATTACTTTTTAAGAGTGGTGACGATGAATGAGAAGATAAGGTGGAGAAAAGTGACTTACTTTAGAGGTAATTTAAGTATTATATTTTTATAACTTGACGATAACAAGAAACAGACAACATATTTTGGGACGGAGAAAAAGGAAAATAGAGAATTTAAAATGGGACAGAGGGAGTAAATAATTTAAAATTTTTGTTTTATGTTTTGGGGAAAATATAATTTTAGATTATTGAAAAAAAATTCTGGGTATTGCTTGAGAAAGAAATTGTAATACAAAAAAATGTAGTGAACCATAAAATTAGTATCATTTGGGAGAAAATATTGTCTTATTTTCACAACTTTTGAATTATTAATATTTTGGAAAAAAATTTGTACTGAATCATTAAAAAATAAGTTTGGTAATTCCATTTTAGAAAAAACAAATAGAAGATTATCAATAAATATTTTGGAGTGTTTATGAAAAAAATTGCAATACAACAAAAATAGTAAGCTATAAAAATAAAAGTTCCAATTCAAAAAAAAAATTAGTGTTATATTTTCAAAACTGTTGTAATGTTCTTTTGCAAAAAATATATATATAGAATTATCGAGAAAGATGATTTGAAGAGTCGCTTAAGAAGAATAGTTGACACTTACAAAAAATGTATTGAGTTATTAAGTAAATACATTAGCTCCATTGTATTGAATAATTTATTGTTCTATTATATTACCAGATTATCGATTATTGATAAAAATATTTAGGTTTATTCCAAAAAAACACTTAAATTAGGTAGAATGTTATTTATAAAAACATTTTTTAAAAAATAATTTCATTTTAATGTTAGAAATTAAAAAAGAAAAATAGAGAATTTACCTAAAATAATCCTATATTTCATTTATTTGCAAAGATCGATCTTGGGTATTGATCTTGATAGTCATTGCCAGGAAGACAAATTATTCCTGGAAAGAAATAAAGAATGCATTGGATCTTTTGACCTTGGGTTATTAGGTAAAAAATAACTCCGGACACCTATGGTACTATATTTGTTAAAATTAATGATTTCTCCTAGTAGTGAATATGAGAATTAAGAACTCTTGTTGGGGGCACGATAGCAGGAGGGTTCGAGGGTATCGTCTCAGATATTTTTTTATAGAATGTGAAATAAAAAAATTAATGAATTTGATCTGAAACAAGTATTCATTACATCGCACCCCTAATGTATAATGTCAATACATTCATTTCAAAACCTAATATTTAAGCTATGTGAAAAAGCCATAACGCACATTACATCGCGTCCTGGAAAATATGAACGGAAAAACATCCTCTCCCATTTTCTCTTTCTTTACTTTTCTCAAAACCAAATCCTGCAAATAAATAAAACAACTCTCTGTTAACAAATCCTGCATGTGGGTGTGTGTGTTCCAGCATTATGGGAATAAGGGGAAAACAAAAACACAAACTTGAACCAATAATGGCTTCCAGTGTTGTACCTGAATTACATTCTCAGCTGCCTTCACATCATCGTACCTTAGAGCAGTAAAAGAAATAAACATTTCTTTTATGGTATGTTTGGGAACATGGATTTGGATTTCAAATCCGAATTTGACTTAAATTCCATGTTTGGGAAACTTAAGCATTTGGAATTTGGATTTGAATCAAATTCTTTACCTTCAAAACAAAGCTTAATTTGAAATCCATGCACCGCCCCTTGTCATTTGAAATTCAGGATTTCAAATTTTGGAATTGAAATGCATGAATTGAAATGAAATGCTAGTTGCCAAACATTACCTTAGAGAAATGGGTTTCAAGTAAACGGTTACCGGAAATGATTCCCATAAAAGCCCAAGATTTGCACCGTCTTTACCAATGATATGGTCAATATGCGACACTGCAATGCGCGATGAGTCTACATTCTGCAAAACAATTGAAGGCGCATTTAATCTACTATACAATGAAATGCGTGATGTGTCCCGCGATATTCATCCACTTTCCTTTCAGGCAAATAAAATGAAACAAAATGTCCATTGTGCCCTTCATCGCTGCTCTCTCTTTTGCTTATCTTCCCCACCCATGGCAGCAATCAGTCTCCTGTTAATTTATTACTCTGGTAGATCCTTTAATCTCGCTGCAATCCATTGAGTATTTCATTTAATCGCTGCAATCTATGGATCTGCATCCCCTCTTCACGTTGCCCATATATCTTCTTCCCGGTAGGTCTTCTTCCTTGTTCATATCTTCTTCTGCTAGTGTTGAAATCAATTGCAAATTTTAATTGATAAGTCTAGTCCTTTTCAATTTCAATAAATTTATTGATAATACCCCAATCACATGGATGGGAGGCGCCCATTTCATACTTTCACTTTTGAAATAAGAGTGTGCTGGGAGGCAGCTGGAAGACGGCAAACCCTCTCGGTGGCAAGGTAGTGCACCAGGCGGCAATTGTGAGGACTTTGGGTGAGGGGCAATTGTGTCTTTTAATCCATTACCTTGGTTTTTGGTCCAAAACAAAAGTGGACGAATACTGCGGAACAGAGGGAGTAATAAACTAAATAGAGACGGGACGAAGTAAAAAAATTTCTACAGGAAGTGAGGGGGCACTGACCTCATGCTTTCTCTCAGCTCGAGGCCCATTATATACAATTCTGGATGTGCATATTTCGTAAGAGGATGGACGAATGCCATTCTGTGCAATATCCATGTGAATGAGCATAAGCAAGAGAAGGTAATTAATCCATTATATAGAATTTTGCATTCAATAATCTTACCCCGGCTTTATACTCCGACAACTTCTGCTCATCAACTGCAAACTCTCCTAGATAAAAAAGCATTGACTGAACAGCCTCATGTACACCCCTGCGCTCCCCTTCCGCATCAACAATCACATCACCAGGCGAAAAAAACTGACAAGTTATCTACGTAGAGTATCCCAACCATTAATAAGATAACCGATAATCAATACAACGACTAGTGCAAAGCTAATAATAACAACATACGAATAGAGACCGTTCCATTCCACACTAGCGTATTACACACCTGCTAGATAGATAGCAAGTGTGCATGGATAGGCCTTCAAAGTGTGAAAAACAATCAACTTTTTTGCATGTGCAGCCGGTACAAGCAGTCTTGTTAAGCAGTGCTCCTCAGAAGTCAGGGTGTGCAAAAAATACTGGTGAACCTCACCAAAAACATTAATAGCATGAGCGGTGGAGTGTCTAGAGTCCCTTTTTGCGGATACCATAACCTGTGAAGTAGACAAACAATTTTAGATGCTATCACACCCAAGCTGAACACCAATAAGAAAAATGTTCATTCTATTTTCTCTAGTAACAATTAATGTCCATGATACACCTCGTGCACACTGAACTTAGTAATTTACAAAGATTAAAAATAGGCAGCATAATCAGAGAGACTAATCATAAAAGTCTATCACTCTCAGTCTCTAACCCCACCTCGCCTTGCTCCCAATCCAGTACCCAACCATAAACAATTCAATAAGACAATCATGATCTTTACTTACAACTCCGACTCCAGCTACAAACTGGAAATCAACCTCAACATTGTTCTTCTCAAAATGTGACTTCAGGAGACTATTGTAACCTTTAATGACACCATCATCCTTTGCAGGAATCAGCATCCTAAAAACAGTCCACCCTAGACAATTTTCATGATCACCAACCAATAAACTGAATTAGCGTTTCACAGGCACAAAAAGGCATCATTTGAAGCTGTCAATTGTATAAAATATACAAGGAATCCACAAGATGTGTGCATGTAAATGCATACACAAAAACGTGCAAGGTTTGTTAACTTTTTAGTGCGTGTGGAAGTGTGAGTAAGGCATGTTGAAAATGCATACCCTGTGCTGCCACATTCAGTTCACGAGGTACTTTTTTCTTTTTGGGATATGAACCAATTGTATAATCCAAACCCAGCTGTTGGGACAATTTTCTTTTTTCAGAGCCAACCCGGAACAAATGTCTTTGCTCGGGGGTAGGTCCAGGGACAAGCTTCCCTGCAATAAGTTACAAAGTTATAGACAGAGAATGACAACGAATAAGATGTAATGCAATAACTTACATATAGAGAAGGATGTGGCTGTGGAGGTCTTGAATAAACATAAACCCTCCAGCAATGAAACCACTGATAGTTGGAATAAAATATAACCTAATCTAAGTATATACAAAACAAAAGAATTCAGTAAAAATTTCCTTATTTAGAGCCCGCCTGGAACAAATGTCTTTGCTCGGGGGATAGATCCAGGGACAAACTTCCCTACAATAAGAGAATGACGACAAATAAGATGCCGTGATATAACTTACATATAGAGAAGGATGTGGTTGTGGAAGTCTTGAATAAACATAAACCTTTCAGCAATGAAACACTGACAGTTGGAACAAAATATAATCTAATCTAACTATATAAAAGGCAAAAGAAATTAGGAACAATGGTCTCAAAATGGTTGAGCAAAAGAGTATTCATAAAAAATCCAGTGTTACATCATATTCTACTCTACACTTAAATCAAACGATTGTCGAAAATATATGAAACAATTCATTGAGGAGCAACTTGAGCCCATGTTGCTTCACAGTCAAACAAACCAAACAATCAAATGACAATGATTCTTAACGTGGCCGATAAGAGAAAGAAAGGAATAATGATTTGCTCTTACACAATTTCGCCGATATGGGAAGCGGTCATACCTGGGATTTGCTTCGCCGATGCCCTTGTTCATAGCCACGATTTATAACCATCTTGATCGGCTGTAGTTGCGGTGTCTCCATATCTTCTCTCTCAGATTGGGGAATCCGCTTTCCAGACCAAACCAGACTACCTAAGGAGTGGCCGAGGGAGAGATGAAGAAGAGAACGATGAATGAAAGACAGAAGGAATATGTGCCTCCCTCTCACATTATTTGTCCACTTTAATTTTTACACACCATCCAATGCACTTCTTTAATTCATTTTATCTCGTAATTTGTATATTAAAATATCATAGAAATTATATATTAATAATCTATATGTTAAGACAAATCAAACAAGATCACACATTAGTACATGACTATATTTAGGCTTACACATTGAGAGAATTTGATAAGTCAAAGTACTTGGATGAACAGTTCCAAAAGTCAAAACTGGACGAATACTCCGAGACGGAGGGAGTAGTTTTTAAAATCTTTGGGTTTTGGACAAGATTTGAGAATGGATTTTTATTTATATAAAAGTCTAAAAATTTATCGATTTTTTAATACCATTATACGGAGTATTTAGAAGACTTTTTTAAAATCTAAATTGAATACACCCAAATGTTGAATAATTTTTTAAAATCTGAATTGAATATCTACAAATTTTTAAAATAAAAAAAAATCTTTCAAAAATCTTGATTGAATACAACCCCTTAGTTTTGGATTTAAATTTGAAATATTGATCTGATTTTACTTTTTTGTACTGATACATTTTTAACCATTCATCTCGAATAAAATAGAAATTATGGAGTATATTATATAGAGTACTTGTTCAGTTCATCTAAGGTCCACAAAATTTGGTTGACTTTCTCATATAAATATTAGTTTTTTAAATTTTTTTTTGTAAAAAATAAAAGTGAAATTTGCACTAAATAGCACTAAAACCTATGTTCTTTCCCAATGCAGTATTTAAATTTATTTATTTTCTAAATTGCATTGAATAATGTCTAGTAGCGGGAAGAATATCTAGTGATGGTGGACATTTAATTTGAACAATGTCTAGTGGTGGTGGACATTTACTTGAAAAATGATCAATGAAAATTGAATATTGATACTATATTGTGAACTAAAAACATATGGTACTACATGCTTATAGGTACACCATGGATCCACCATGGACACCTTCGGTCCATGATAAATTTGCCGATGACATACTCTCTACGGTCCAAATTTTTTTTCCCTATTTTGATTTTTTAGTCAAACAATAATTTTTTTTACTACAAATTAAAAATTAGATATATCAAAACTATATCGTAAGATGAATCCATTTATATTGAATTTATAATATATTTCAATATATTTTTCTAATAATTTTTGGTCAAAGAGTGTCATTATTTGATTAAAAAATTTAAAACGGAGATTTTTAAGATCGAAATGAGTATTATTAAAAGAAGAACATGTTGTATTCTAAACACTCATTTGGCTATTATTTGACTATCTACCGGTTTTGTTTCCTTTTTTAGCATGAGAATCAAGTATTTCAAACTTTCCTCTACATTCTACTCCTTTTTGCCTTGTGGAATCCATATGCTGGGGTGATTTAGGTTCCTTTTTTCCTACAATTCTGCATTGTGGTTTTTCTGCATTCATCATGAGTACGCTGTCGTAGAATTAACTTGAACTTTGAAAATTGTGGACAATTTATGGAACTAAAGGGATGTTTGTGGTGGACACAAAAGGTTTGAGCGGTGGCTTGGCTTTGTTGCTATGGACAATTTATGGAACTAAAGGCTATGAACTAAAGGGTTGAGTACCTTTTAGATTCACTCGCTTCTATACTTATCCCGGAATTCATGGGCACTCATGGAATCGTTGCCATGGCATACGGGGATAAAATGGGCAGGATTCACCAACGAGCTTGGAGGATCCACAGCTTTCATGAGGCGGTTACATTTTGCTTTGTAATAGACCAAGTTAGATGACCAATTGCTAATACTCCGTAATACGCACAAATTATTTTTCACGACGGGTCATCGCATGGTATCCTGATTTATCATACCAACACATCTCTAAACTTGTAAGTTGATTTATTTTAACTAAGATGCAATTAACCAGAATGGAGAGCATACTATTTTTCTTGTTAGTTTCTTTTTCATTTTCACATATTATGTAATTTAATAACTTTATTTAGTGACACGCTCTGTATTTCATTTACGGCATACGGTTACGTGTGGTAAATAATCAAGTTATGCTCACTCCCTTCACAGTTATAAGTGCGGTTAACAAAAAGAAGCAATTAGTCTTACCTTATACACACCTTAAAATTAACGTTTTTAAAGGAAACCAATCTCTAAAATGGGGAATGAGAAAACCCCTGAAAAAACCAATCTCTATATACATATATTCTCAGAGTTACATGAATAAACTAATGTATTCCACAACAAAGACCGACCCAATCATTGGAGAAATGATAGCATCCTTCGCCGCGGTGATTCTTTCAAACGTTGATGCAGTCAGTATTCGTACGTCATGGTATGTTGGTAATTTGGTACTGCTGGGAAGATTAATATGGAGTATTTAATAGTAACACATTCTCCTAGGCATCCCAATCATACCTTCCAAAAACACATAACATAAATAAAACTTGGGATTTTACTTGAGAGAGAGAGAGAGAGAGAGAGTTGAACTTACTCCAGCGGCTACAGCCAAGAGGGTGAAACATGAAATGTTGTAGTCATCAGAGTGCTTTGTCCTCCGGCTCACCTTTGCCTCGTGTGGGAAACAAATTCAAGATCTTCATCCTGTAAAGAATAAGGCACACTCATACATTGGTGAAATTTCTTATCAGTTTTTTTCTCTATCCCAAAATGAAGTTTACAGTTTCCTTTTTTGGGTGTCCCAAATTGAAGTTTACACTTTTTCTTTACACTATGTTTGTTTCAACGAATTAGAAAAGAAAAGAAAATAATTTTCTCTCATTTTCCTCACCAAATTGGGAGGAATTTTGTTTTCTCTCTTAATACATTTCGCCTTCTTATTTTCTTTTCCTTCTACTTTTCCTTTAATTTCCTCTCTAACCAAACAAGAAAAATTGTTTTTCACTTCATTTTCTTTTTTCTCCCTTTCAAATTCCTTGAACCAAACATAGTGTTAAGTAAATCAATTTGTAGCTTTTATATTTCTCTCACTTCTCAAGAAAATTTGGCCACACACTTTTCATAATTCCAAAATGTCAAAGTGTAAGCTTCATATTGGGACAAAGGGAGTATATGTATTCTCCTCAAGAATCTCACAAAACGTAGGGTCTCGGGAGGGTGTATGTAAGCAAATCTTACCCTACTATGAAAGAGAGAGGTTGTTTTCAAGAAACCCTCAGCTCAGAGACAGAAGTACAAACAAAGAAACCATTGAAGCTCAAACAAAGTACGAACAAAAAGAAAAAAAACATACAAACCGACTCTAAGAACTAGACAAAGGTCCAAAAGCACACAACACATACTAAGGCAATAATAAAAATAAACATTGTTCTCTGCTTGACTACTTCAGCTGCAAGCAATAATAAAGATAAAGAATTCAAAAGTCCCTATTAGTAGTGTGATTACTTACGATGTGTAATGTGCGCCGTGAAATATTGGAACCCTTCCAAGACCCGAGCCTCTCCCATTTTTTCTAGGAAAGGATACAATCTTGTCGGCTTCTGAGCCAGTTGCAGTCAACACAAACTAAAGGAGCAAGCCATTTAGGATAGGATACCAAGGAGCAATATAGAAAGGAAGAAGTTTATGTACCAATGGAAATAGTATAGCCATAAATCCATAGCTAACCAGAGGAGAGAACAAGAATGTCACCAGGACACACGGGCTTCCTGAAAGCATATACATGTCATTATTTACAGTGAGAAAACTATCAAGGCTGGAATGGTTGTGGCTTAGCTATGAAATACATAGCATCCGAATCTTCAAAATGTGGAAACATTGAATAAGCATGCAGTAATACGAAGTACTCTGTACTCAAGACCTCATATGCAAATTGGTTTATTCATTTTTTAATTATTGTTTTTATCTTATCTAAACTAAATCATACTCCGTACTCTTTTTTGCAAAATCGCACCGCAAATCAACTTGGGATTATTAGTATATAAATTGTAGCGTGGCATTATTTTTGGTAGATCGGGCCAACGTTGAATTATCTTTGTCAAAATTTCCATAATTTTATGTTTCTTCTGCAATTTGCCTAATATACTCCGTAATTAGATGCCAGAAGACAAAAGAAGGAAAAAACTAAAACTATAAATCAAGACAAAGGTAAAGAATTATTTATGGAACACAACCAAAACCAGCAAAAAAAGCCCAGTTGGTTTCAAAGAAGTCCAGCCTCTTGTCCAAACTTAGTCCTGATAGATTCCATTTATACCTAGAACATTAACAATCACCTTATAGGCATGGGTTTGAAACAATCGGCATTCAAAGCAAAAGAAAATAGATTGTTTTAAAAGAAAAACTTACTCAAAGGAATAATAGGCATACATCCATGAGAGAAGCAGAAACTTAAGTGTCTTTCCAATATAGGGGATAAATCCTATAGCACAAACCTGGAAAAAGACAAAACACTAGAAACTCCATTGACATTTTGTAAGAGATAAAGGGGTATGTGAAACACTGTTTTAAAATCTAATTTCACCTCTATGAAGAAGAAAGTCAGCAAGAGGACAGAATAAATTTGTTCGGCAATGCCAATCATTACTCTGAAATAGATAAATGATCTCAGGAAGAAATAATCATCCTTACAATGAAACATCTCCTAAACAAATACTTTGGGATTAAATACAACAATTCGAGTACACAACAAAACATACCCTTCAAAACCAGTTGATTTACTCATACTCGCTGTTTTTTGTGAAGTTTGTGACTCCTTTTGATCAGATACCTTCGTGCCAGCAGTTCCATATTCCTCAAGTACGAAAAATCCATATTTTGCTATGTCGTTGTACCTAACATTTAATAAATCATATTCCGGTGCATGTGATTGTAACTCTTTTTTACCAAAATACAAGTATACAATACCCTAGATGGGAGCATTTAGAGGTCAATGATAATAACTGTCGGGTAGGCCTAGATAAGAGTGGTTCATTGTGTGTAGGGTTCAAGATTAGTTTAGATATACTGAGGTGTTTGCTCAGTTTTATCTTTCTCTTTTAGTTGACCTTTATATGTTTGACACTTTGACCTATTGTACTGGTTCTTTCTTTTGTGCTCGAGCCGGGGTTCTTTTGGAAACATCCTCTCTAGCCTCTACTTTTCCAAGATAGAGGTAAGGCCTGCACCAAAACAACCCCCCCCCCCCCGGATTTTAGTGATGGAACTTGTTGAATTACCACAAAACGGCAATGTTCCTCGTCTTGTTATGACTATAAGTTAGAGCCTTATCGTCTTTCAAGAAGTACTGAAGCTTTTACGTATTCATATTAAGCCTTTGTTTGTCTATATAATAATCCATAACATGTCCATGTTTGTGAAATACAGAGTACGCCTTAAAATTTGGTTGTTGTTGGTTCGATCTGGTACAATATACAATCATTGGAGTGTATTGTATGAGAATGTCTTTAATACTGAAAATGAAGGTAGAAACTAAACAATATCATCAAAAAAATGGCAGAGCAATGAATAAAAGAAAGATATAAATTGATGATGAAATATTAAAAATAAGTGTACGTACCACATATTGCTAAGGATGTAGCTCAATATGTATAGTGGAAAAAACCAGAAAACCTGCAAGGAAACCCATTAAAGGAATTAGAGTGAACCTAAACATATGTCACAGCCAATCTTTAGTGTTTCTTACCATAGTACAAAATATATAAGTTGATTGTGAAATAACTGCTACATCAAGAAATCGAAAGACTGCACTGATGTCATAAAGTTCATAATAAAAACTCACATAGAATAGCTGTACAAGTCCAAGACGTAAGAAACTATAGAATTCCAAAATACCCCAACATGAAAATGAACCTTCGGAAGTGCTCTCTGGACATTGATCCGGTAATATCCATTGTAGTACTGGAACAATGACTGATTGCAGGAAAAAGATACTGCACATGAAGAAAAAATCAGAAACATGTGAAGTTAATCTTCCTCAATGATTTCATTCGTTTGATATTACTTCAATTTGAGCTGAAGCCATATCAACTTTTATGAGTTCAATTCATTGACTAACAGACTACCCGAGTAGTAGTTATCGAGCATGGAAAGACATATAATGGTAATGGAGTATAATACAAAAAACTAAGTCAGATAATAATCATGAATGTGTCCGTTCAGGATTCAAATTAATTTCAGTTTCTCAAAACCAAATTCTAAAACATTGCTAGAGAACTATGACAAACCCTACGAAAAGCACAGAGCAGCTTATTATGTGACCCAAGAGAATAAAACAATACAGCAACGTTACCTTCCTAAGAAGATAAAGCCATTCAGCAGGAAACACTGGCCAGTTCGGACGGCGAGCTGCCTCGACCTTTCAATCAGACACATAATTCAACGAATCAGATAAGCAAAACAGCGAGGTTATACCTACAACCACTGAGAAAGAGGGATAGAAGAAGAAGAAGAACCTGACGCAGTAGATGAAGACCCGGTGGATACAGCAAGCCTCCCTGAAACCCTCCGCCCAAAGCGCCAAAGCCTGCTCTGGCTTTTTTGATAGAGTTCTCACCCAATCTCTCCCAGCGCCGCACTCCATCGGTGAAGAAGAAGAAGCTGATGATGAGGAATCGCTCAATCTGATCGGCGGGCACAGCAAGAACTATTTGATTGGTTTGCTTCTCAATGGAACTGAGGAGATTTAATACGCAAACGCGCAGCCTTTTAACTGGGGAATGTTGCTTGATGGCTATTCAACCTATTTTCTCCCTTTTCCATAACTTCCCTACCACATAATTATTCAACTATTTGTTGTATTAATGTTTGAATCACAAAAATAAAATAACAAATTCAAAATTTTTATGATTTTTTATTATAGAAGAACTTTCGTTCACACAAAATCAAATAAATTAAAAAAATAGGTGAAATAAAATCGTACAAATCCAGTTGCACAACATCGCATCTAACCAAAGGATGATCCATAGTGTTTAACTCTCTAGGAATAAAATTGAATAATACATTCATAAAATAATTCATCAACTCCATCTAGGTATTTATGGCTTTATTTAATTTTACAAAAAAATAAAAAATATAGGAATACAAAAGAATTGAATAAAAATAATATTAAATCGACGAAAAGCTTAGACTCCAAAGTCCAAAATACTCCCTCAGTCCCCCTGTATTTGTCCACATTTGACTTTTGAAACTGTTCATCTAAACACTTTGACTCATCAAATTCTCTGAATGTGTAAGCCTAAATATAGTCATGTGTGATCTTGTTTGATTTGTCTTAACATATAGAATATTAATATATAATTTTTATAATTTTTTAATATACAAATTACAAGATAAAATGGATTAAAGAAGTGCATTGGATGGTGTGTAAAAATGAAAGTGGACAAATACAGGGGGACGGAGGGAGTATGTAATTTATGATTCAACAAATTAGTGTGTACATTTCTTTATGATACTCTTTCCGTCTCAATTTAAATTACATGTTTCGATGTACGATGTTTATTTGATAAAAATGTTTTTCAAAACATATAATCTTACCTATGGACATATCCGTCCCCTTTTAGATTACAATATTCCCTTTTAGACAAAATTAAGGAAGAGTCAAATCAGTATTTTTTTTCCCAAATTACCCCCAAATAGTATAGGAATGGGTGGGTGGGTGAGATTTGACATTGAAATGATAAAAGGGAGAGAGGGTAAAAGAGTCCATTTAGTGTAAAAGTAAACACTTTGTAATCCTTTTTGGGTCAAAAATAAGAGAGAATATTCTAATCTAATTGGGGACGGAGGGAGTATTTTTCTTTGAGAAGTTTTATAAATGTATTAATTTATGATAAGTTTTATAAATGAATTAATTTTCTAAGTTATCGCTTTTGTCACTTGTTCTAAACTTATCCCAATTATTTAATACTCCCTAAATAATTTGCCAAGGAGCACCGCGTCCAAACCCGACCCACATTTAGCACCGATCCCCTCCCAATTTTTTCTTCTCTACGATCTCTTCCCTTCACCAGCACGGCGCTACAATCTTCACTCCATTGATCTCCTTCCCCAAGAAGAATCTTACGAACGATTAATGGCGCAGCCCATTAAGGAGCCGTGCAAGAAGCAGGCTTGCGATATCCAGGCTTGCCTCTCCAAGAACAATTTTCTCGCCCAGAGGTGATCGATCGCTTACCCTAGTAATCACTTGCTCGAGTTTATATTGCTACACTAGATACTGCCGATTTGTTCTTAAACCAACCAAATTAATTGTTCAATCTCGATTGTGTTTATTTGGTTGGTTTAAGAACAATCGTTGAGAGTTCGTATACATTTTTTCTTCTTTGTTGTTCTTCATTGATTTCAATTTCTTCATCTTGAATCGCGAATGTGTGTGAGATCCTAACATGAAGCTCATAATCGGCCGAATTATTCTAAAAAACAGCTATATTTATACTCGTAGTCTAGTAGATTTCTATGTTAATATACTCCCTCTATTTTATTCTATTTTAGAAAGGGATTTGTTTCAAACCCTTACCACCACCACCCAAAAAAGGAGGTTTTTCAGAGAAAGGATGAGTCATAGACTGCATAGCCCATATTCTTCATATTGTTTTTCTAAATTGTTTTGTCCTGTGTTGTTTTGTTATTGAATTTTACTTTACCTTTCTAACTTTTTTTGAGCTCCAAATGATATTTCCTATAGTGACTTTGGACTTCCTGAATTCCTTTTACATAGAGGAATATGAGTGAGGTTGAGAATCATTTTGGATACATTTCAAACTCGTTTTATTCAAACATTTGTAGTACTATATAACAACTAAGAATTCTAACACTATATTTGGGTTTTGGAAATGCAAAGGGAAGGAAAAGAAAGAGGGTGTCTCATTTTCCTTGCCAAAATGGAAGAAAAATCATATTCCTTCTTCTTAATGCATTTTCTTCTCCCGTTTTCCTTTCCTTCCACTTTTCTTTTCTTTTGTTTTCTCTCTCGTTTTCCTTTCAAATTCCTTGAACCAAACATAGTGTAAATGTATATGAAAGAAAAGTTCATCAAATTTGACCCTCAATAATGAGTGAGTACATTTTTGTTAAACCAAACGACAAACAAACCTAGTTGAATCTTGCAGAAGTAGGGTTAGTGGAGGGTGTGTGACTCCGCGTGTGACCCCTACTTGGAAGTATAGAAGCTCTTTGGTAAACCAAACATTAAAACACACACTCACACACATATTTTTCTAATTCCAAGCATAGCATGATATGTATGGTTGTATGTCTTGAATGGGCTTTTTCTTTGAGTTGATCTTTCCACCCTTAAATTTTATTGCTCCTTATTTGCTAACAGGTGTGTAAGAGTTATTGAATCCCTTGGAAACTGCTGCGAACAATGTGAATACAAGTCGACTCATTGTGCTTCATTGTCTGGCCTTTTGAAACAAATACAAAAGAAGTAGCTGGGATCCATCCGGTTTCGGGTTCTCTTTTGTAAGATTGAAAAGCTTTCTGTAACTATGCTAGACAAGCTTCCTTGTAAATGTTACATCAGAGCTGCAGATGACAAGGGATGAGGTTTTTTCTTTAGCAGCTATTGTATAATATAAGAGTACTCCATTGGCCACTTCATTGCTGCCATGCTTGAATAGATATGGAGTTTAAGAAAATGATTTTAAATTTTGTTATTATTTGTCTTCTACAAGTTTCGACATTGGAGCCATTTGGGTGGATGTGAATATGGACATGGATGTTGCTCATCGTATTGGGGTCGCTTGGGCAAAGTGGAAGTTGTATGTGACAAGAATATTATGGCGATGATGAAAGGAATGTTCTATGCGGTAGTAGTAAGACTGGGTATACTATTATACTTTTAAGGAGAACGAAGGATTGGCAATCAAGAAAATATGCGTTCAATAATTACATGCAACAAAAAATGCGGATCTTGCGGTGGATGTATAGGCAGACAAAGATAGATAAGATTTGGAACGAGGTTATTCGGGAATGGGTGAGAGTGGCACCTGTGGAAGATAGGTTGTTAGAAGGATGTCAATTTTATCTCAACTGATCGATATTCATATTACCCGACCCGCTATAACAAATACAGTAAAAATCTAAAACAATATGGATGAGAATTGATAATGAATGAATTAGGTGACAGACTTTGTTGGATCCAGGTGGAGTTTTTTTCTATACTCATTTTAAAAAAATATATTAAAATACTTTCTAGACTTCTAATATTCTAATTAAAGATATCTTAATTTTAAAACCCGTAGAAGTCATTATGCATTTACGCAACCCCACACTGGAACGAACACTTCTTTTCTCATATTTTAAAACTTAAAGATAGTTTCTTTTTGAAGATTTCATCTCAGACACCATCAATATTGTTATCACTTTTATATAACATGGGGTTCATGAAATTAATATCACTCGTTTTTACATGTTTCACCCGCAACTTGGTCAAAGAATTGGGTGATGGATGATGTATAAATTGGATGGTGGGTAGATCGGATGATAGATGTGGAATTGATTGATGGATGATGGTGAAGCTCTATCCGATCCAAACCCAACTCGTTGTCATTGAGCTTGAAATGGTTTGGGCACGTGAAGTGGCAAAGTACAGAGGCTCTGGTGCGGAAATGCGAGAGGCTGACACCAGCTAGGCGGGATGAGGTAGGAGTAGACATAAGAAGAATGAGAAGGAAATGATCAAGCATTACCTAAGACTTCTAGCTCATGTTGAGAATATCACTTTAGATTGAAATGCCTGAAGAGTTAGGATTAATGCACTTGACTAGTTAATGCAGTTCTTAGAAACAATTTGTGTGCTTTTGTCTCTTTACAATCTTCTTTGTCCTTAATATCCTTTTGCTTCTTTTTTGTTGGTTTTTTGTGCCTTCTTTGCTACTCAAGTTGGCGATATCTTGGAAACAATCTTTCTACTTTTAAGTTAACGTTAGATTTACATACACACACTCTTTTCAAACCCTACTTTTGTGAAATTCTATCAAGTTTGTTGTCTTCTAAAAATAGAAATTCATAAATAAAATGAACCAACATAACCAAATTAATGCAATCTATCGCATTCAAGAGCAAATTCAACTTATCTATATTAATATAACAAAAAGATAAACTTGGCTTGGAGGGTTTTATCTTAGAATTTATACGATTAAATGAAAGAGTAATGCTAGAGTTTCAAACTGCAAGATCAATTCCAGCATGTGCAAGAATCCCATGGTGAACAGATAGAGAGCATACATTAACACAATGACTTTAGGTAAATATTCTAAATTTTGAATTGAGCTTGAGCTTTAATTTTTTTATTCTATATTTTATTTCTCTACAAATTTCTCTTTTATTTTCATTCATATTTTCTGCTCCCAACAATTTTCAGGTTTAAAACAGACCCAAAATCATTTCAAAACAAAAGGTAACATAATACTCCCACCGTCCCAAAAAAAATTATCCAGTTTCTTTTTTGGACGTCCCAAAAAAACCTCACATTTTTTTACAATGAACATCTCACAAGATTTCTCTCATTGAAACCATACATGTTTCCACTCTTTTCTTAACTTCCTCAATGTGGGTAAAAAAAAATTGGGATTGGGACATATGAGTATGACACAGTAACAAATACACATTTTCATTCATGACAAGGTTCAACCTTTCATCTTCATCTGAAGCACAAAAAAAATGTTTTGAATACAACACAACCTGAAGCCTCTCAGTTCATCTCCAACTCTTTCAACAGCATGGACAAAGAATACAATGCAAATTTTCCTCTCTTTTCCAACCTGAATTTGGCACAACAATAGGCCCAGTATACGGGGAGGGTGTGTGTACACAGACCTTCTGCCTGCTAGATTCAACCTGAATTGGCACAAAAGAATAATAATGATGAAAATTCAGAGTACCCAAGAGTCAAGGAGGGATATACAAAGGTGATCTTGAGGAGTCTTGATGCATCAAAAGCACGCCTTCTTGACCAAAACCATCTTCCTCATCGGCATGCTTTGGAAGTCGGAATGAGTGTGACACTGAACCTGCTCATATTCCCATGGCGAAACTGAATCAGAAAATGTCGACGAATTTCCCCTTCTTATTGGGCAAGCGCCCATTGGTGAAGGACTAACTTAGGGATTCTGGGGTTACTCGTGTTTGAACCCTCAAGAGAGCATGAAGAGGGGATCTGAAGGGAGTTTTAAAAGGGAGTAGTTTGGGCTATAAAAAACGAAGGGTTTATGTGCGCTATATGATCACCGAGGTTAATGTGCCTTGGATCTAAGGTTATAGCAGGTCATAGTTCAGGTTGTACTTCTAAAAATAGGCCACAATTTTGATCCCAAGAATTTCTATTGACTACGGTGGTTTATTTTATTGCCTTCAGTCTTTTAGACAATAGGCCATATTCGTTTTTCCACAGACTCCCAATTCTTTAGGACAAGCACTGCCTTCGAGTGAACTGAATGATTTGTATATTTGTATTCAAGTTTAGAGCACATGGGAAAGATCTTAGAACTTACCATCCACCATGTCTTTGGTCTTGTGGAGAAGAAATGTTCCAGAAAGTATTGTGACAAACCCACACATTTCTGTCAAAATTTGAGGAGCATTCTGCCTATCCCACTCCTATTCACAAGGAAAAAGAAAAATATATCTATTAGCATACTGAGGATGGGTTCTGCATTGGATCCTAGATAATGTATTGTTTGAGTTTTTAAGTTCTGCTTGGTTCCTAGCTTATTTGGATTATCAATCAAATACTCACTTTTTTTAACGAATGAGTCAAAAAATCAAGCTTATTTTGATGGCATTAGATGAATTAGATTATAAAATGATGATGATGATGATGATGATGATGATGATGATCATAATAACAATAATAATAATACTTCATGATAATAAAGTAGGGTAGAAGACACTCCCTCCATCTCGATATTGTTATCCACTTTCCAGTTTCCAGAACACCCTAAATTTAACAAACTGGGGTAAACATATAAAAAGATCCATGATACTAGCCTAGTAGCCTGTCATTCTTTGATGGAAACAATGCTAATATGCTCTTTAAGGGGTATTTTTTATCATTCACATATTCTTACTAAATACAATACGGCCATGCTCTTTTGAGTTGAAATTTCAGAGTTAGATGTTGGAAGAAACTGGGAGTTGGAAAATGTTGGATGAATTCAAGTGTTAAAAAGTCATTCAATTAAATGATCATCCAAATATATATGTAATAAAATTCTAATTTTGGATAAAAAGAATTCATCCTTTTGTGTTTGAGGTGATCTTATAAATTTAGACACATAATGTTATTGTATATTCGTCATATATAAATACTTTTTTTAAGTCGTTGTTGGAAGACACTGGAAGAAGTTGGAAGGAACTGAAAAGCGTTGGAAAAGTTGGAAATTAATTTTTCCAAGCCAAAAGAACATGGCCTAGGTGGAAAAGTGAACAACAAAATCCGGATTGGGGAGTACATTTTTAGCTGAAATGAAGTGACTGTCTCACACTTCTAGCCTACTTTTTTGGTTAGTATTTTATTCAAGTAATTAATATGTACAGAGTAATATTTTAACACATCTAAACAATTCAGCCATTTCAACGAATTTCACTTTCAACCAAAGAATTCCACAAATTTAGCAAATTTTTACCCCGTCAAATGAGCTCCAAAAAACGGCTTCGGTGAATTTAGACTGCTACCTAACATTGGTCACGTACTAATGTAGATCACTCATTGCATCATAGAAGAAATATATGTAAGAGCAATTGCCTTTATGGTTAAGTGTTTGCCTATTCCAATGTGGTCTACTGCCATCCATGTTAGACTAAAAAACGTTTATAGTGAAGTGTTTGAATCTTCACACTAACGATCTTCATGTAATATATCAACCAAAAAAATCAAGCGTCCCAGATTGTGGAAAACAGTACATACCTTGAACATGATCACACTTGCTAAGATGGTTAAAGATGTAAACATAACATAATATATCGGTGACACAACGGCGGTATTGAATGTGTCAAGGGCCTGCATTCAAATGTACGGGAACATGTTTAACTTTTGCAAGAAGGCTTTGCCACTTTTTTGAAAATATTTAGCACGAAAATGATAGGAAAATCTAAAAAGAAAAGAAATTATACCATATTTAAGTAATTCATTTGAGTAAGCACGCAAACCAGAAGAACCAAAGTGAATGCCCAAGTTTGTGGATATATTAGCTGATTCATTCCTGACAATGTTAACTTTATCGCTATCCCAATTGCTTTGACACTCATGACCTTTTAATTAAAACAGGCAATCAATGTGAAAATCTGAAAATTCCCTGGGGAGTTTTTCAAATAAAGGAAGATCTGAATGAGTATTGATTCATACCGATAGCGATCCAAACAATGAACAAATACCAATATAACACATTATGTGTGTCTGTCCGTATCGTGGAACATAGTGAAATATAATGATCATAACTGATGTTACCACCAAGGATGCATAAAGGAGAAAGCCTGCAGGAAATTAATAGTCTGACTTTGATCACAAATTTCAGATGAAAGTACAACAGTGATTCTTCTTGTTATCATCTTTAATGTTAATTAATAAACTACCTGGCTCAGTGGCAAGATCCCACACTTCTTTCACAGATTCAATCTGACGTTCTTGAGGAGCATGTAAAACAATTGTGGTGGAGCCCACAACACATAAAGCACAACCTAAAATGCCAAATGTATGTAGCTTCTCTCGCAAAATGATGTGAGCAAGCACTGCACTGTAAGACAAATAGGGTTCTTGAAATGAAACATCTTTCATTAAGATACTCCATATATCCCAAAAAAAGGCTTGTATATACACTGGTATGCCCAAAGTTGTTAAGTTGGTTGGGATGATGAACCGTATGTGCAATTCGCACTTTACACTTCTCTAAAGTTTACTAATATATTAGTCATATCTTGGAACTCTAAAAAAGAAAATTAAAATATGGGTAGGAAACAATGGAACAAGAGCCTATTTTTGTATGTTTTTGTAGGACAGACAAAATATCAAGTATGTAATACCATAGGCATAAAGAAAACATAAGTTGCCAATGAAAAGCCTAGTGCCTAAGCATAGGCAAGGCAAGGATTTTTAGAGCACCAAGAGCAGAGATCACACCTTATAATGATGCTAAGTGCGCCAAGAGGAGTAACCAAAATGGCTGGTGCAAATGCGTATGCTGCAAAATTGGCAGCTTCTCCAACAATCACTGTTGCAACAATACTTATGCATTAGAATTTGAAATAATGGAGCCAATAACTGTAAAGGACAACAATAGCAGGGTACAACAAAATTTCAAACAAACTTTATGATATTGGAATAAAATAGATAAGGAGATTATCAAGAATAATTTTAGGGATGCAGCATAGTAAGGATGGGTCCATTTGGCAGTGGTGTGAGCCATTTTTATTCATTTTCATCTCATTCGGTTGTAAGGAGTAATTTTTCCCATCTGTTTCATCCTCTAGAGAAATGAGTTCCTCCGTTTGGCATGTTAGACATGGGTTTTCCATGGAAGGCTTTTCCTTCCACCGGGACAAAAAAACACTCTGAATTACTCCGTATTCCACAACAACATTGTCCTACCCAGTGAAGTCCCACAAGTTGGTGGCTGAAGGCAGATTTTACCACTACCTAAAAAGGTGATACATTGTATGGATGGTATTTTTAATGCTTTTCCAAATGAATTGGAAACAAAAATGGAAATATTTGGACCTTACTATTTGCAGAAATTGGCATAGGGACACTGATATTAAATTTTATAATGCTCATTCCTTCATCACTCCCAAGTAGAGTTAACCAAAGAATGAAATATGTATCCCCAACAACTTCAATGAGTTCAATCATACCAACCAAACAAATGAAACAATGAAAAATTTTCCATCTTTATATATACTACGTATCATACATGCTTTTCAACATATACTCCACCTGTCAACCAAATGAGCTGTTTGTCTACATATTGTATTGTGGTTTAAGACCACAACCTCTTATCAAAATCCAAGAAGAGACTTCTCATCTTTCAGACAAAACACGGTAATTCATTCATTATGACCACAAACTAGCATAATAACATATGAGGATAATACTAGTAATAAATAACTCACTAGAAATCATTCCCACCCACCAAAGTGGCTCAACTAGGTATGAATATCCTCCAGCCCCTGTCACGAAGGCATATGTTAAGGTAAAGATTAAAACTTTGTAGAAGCTTTATCTCAAAACTGAACTCATAAAGACATTAACAAAAAAGGAAACCCTCCCACATAACTCCAACCAAACACACATCCCTCCCCCCTCCACTTCCATCAACTCCCCTCCGAGATATTCCAAACAAACAGTGCAAAACAGAACCAATGCTAACCAGAGTTGGGGAGAACACGGATAGAATTAGGCACAGGTTTAATATGGGATTCTGCAACAATGTGTAACCACATCTAGATAACACAAATAGAAAAAAGTACGTGGAAAGTGCAGTACCAGCCCTGATACCAGAAGCTCCGGCCTTCTTCAACCCTTTCTTCTTAACAATGAAGCTAGCACCTATAAACAAGCTGGAAGACAACGCGAGAACCAGTCCCTTGACGTTGTCAGATGACATTCCTCCATACGCATCCTTCCAGCTACTCAAAACCGCGGAATCCACCGACGGCGTCGCATTAGCCGCAGCAGCAGCCGCCATCGGAACAAATCCGAAACCCTAATCCTCCTCCGCACTACCTCATTCCCAGCCCCAAATTCTGACTGTTTATTGCTTCAACGAATGCTGGAACCGCTGAATCAAACAGAGGCGGTGATATTTGTCGGCGGTGGAAAGAACGATACCGCCCGGCACCGGTGCGGCAAGAGATGGAAGAGCGGTGTGGTTCTGGATCTGAGATAAAACCGAGAACCAACACAGATTTGAGCTGTGCCCAGCGGCTTACTGATCAGATCGATGATCTCATTCTGAGTAGATATTCTCGGCATCTTTCTCCCCCTTCCAGTCCCACCATTCTGTCTCGGCGGGTCCGTAGTGTCGCTTTCTGTTCTTTTTTATTTTTTCTTTTTCTCTTCTGGGTGAAACTGATGATTGACATTTGGTCTATTCATAGGTCAACCTTGGTCATGGATACTACAAGGTTCAGTAAAACAAAACCAACCAATCAATGCATATTTCCAAAAAAATTACTCGGTACTATCTAAAAAATTTTTCTATTTTAATTTTTTTAGTCAAATTGTGACACTCTTTAATCATAAATTAAACATAATCTAAATAAATAAATTATATAAAAATTTGATATATCAAAATTATATCCTAAGATGAACTAATTATATTGAATTTATATTATAATTAAGTATACTTTTCTCGTAATTTGTAATCAAACTATGTAATTGTTTGACCATAAAAAGTCAAAATAGGAAAGGTTTCAGAACTGGAGGAAATAGTGCGTAGTAATACTCCTGTAATAGTAATAATAATAATAATAAGTCCAACTTGATTATTTTTCATTGTTGTTGTGTAGAATCAAACTCGACTATTCGAATTTATTGCCTACCTATCAGCTAGTTGAACTATGACTCTCAAAACCCATATTGATTTTCTTAGGGACTCTTTGTTTTTCTAGTGGATGTTGAGAGATAAAAGTGGACAATATCTTGACTCCTCGTGAACTTTTATTACAATCGAAGGGTGTAAAATATGAGCACATACTCGTCCAAATGTAAAATGTAAGTTTTGTGAAGCATGAATGTCACAATCATTTTATGTCTCTAAGACGAAGGACTTACAATATTACTTTTTTCGTTCCTAGTTTGATTGCAAATTCGGAGTTACGAAGTAACATTTTCCGTATTTTGAAATCATTTTATCTACAAATTAGTATATTACTGATAAATAAAAATTACATATTAAAAACTACATCAAATGTTCTATAAAACGAGATATGACAGTAATAATTTATTTTATCAAATTAAATACTCAATGAAAATAAACAAATAAACAAAATTTATCGAGAGAAAAGTGAAAAAGGATTATAATCCAATTCGTGACGGAGGGCATAATATATTATAGAGTAATAGGTATCGCAAAAAAATATTATAGAAATTTATATAGACAATTGGACAAATCCGCCCATAAGTATATACTCGGTATTATTTTTGAATTGTCAGTGTCTATTTAGTTTAGTTACCTAGTCACACACACATAATGTATACACTCTGATTTTACAAGTTTATATAACAAATTGTTAGACTTCGATGATAAACTTTTGATAAGTTGTCCATTATTTGTTTAAACAATTGAAAGGCGATTGTGTAGAATGAAATAACAATGATGGATGTGTATAAAAAATACTCGTAAAAACTAGGGATAGGCAAACGGGTCCCGGAACCAATGGTTGGAACCAAACTGCATTGTTTGGGGCGAGTTAGGACCGAGTCTAAAATTTTATCTTAAGAACGAGTCGGGGCTGGGCAAGTCCTTTAGCAAAAAACAAGTCAGGCCGATTCTTAATATTTAGAAACAAGTTGACCCGGACTGGCCCGTTTTCTAAATTTTAATAAAATTATAAGTATAAAGTATACAAAGTACGTAGTATTAAATAAATTAAAGTATACTCAATATTGCAATTTAGTCTTTTCATCAAATCGTATTAATAAGTAAATTTTATATGATATATTCAATATTCTATTAATAAATTCTATTAATAAAATTATATATACATACATACATACATAAATACATACATACATACATACATACATACATACATACATATGTGTGTGTGTGTGTATGTATATGTATACACACACACACATATTTAGTAAAAAATTTAGTTGTCAATCACATTTTTTCTTATACATTTCACAACTTCAATTGGTGAAAAAATTTTATTCGTTGAATACTATAATTTATTTTTATTTTATTTATGAAAATCATGGATTAGTTTCAAAAAGTGTTTTATTTTATTGACTACTCTCATATACGTTGTTTTTTTGTTTTTTGATGTATTTTAAATTCTTAATTTAATAGAAAAAATTAGGGACCCGCAAAACCAAACCATTTGAAACAGCCAGACTAGGGTTGCATTGGTTCCAATTATTTTTTTCAATAGCTCGGCTCATCTTGGCCATTTTTTTCTAAAAACAAATCGGGGCAGGGTCCTATGGAAATTGGCCCAATCCAGTATGAAGCTCTACAACAACATCAACAATGGCAAACTTTTTTGTTTTGAAACTGCCATTGATATAAGCTCTACAACAATAAGGCGTTATTCGAGATCTATTTCACTTGTACTCGATGAGTTAGATTTCTTATTACAAAAATAAGAGAGGGGCCAACGATGAAATTGAAGGACATGCAATGTTACATTTGTATGTGATTGAAAAAATGACTGAAATAGACGGATTCGGAATAGTTCGAGACAATACATGCATGTAAACAAGTTTCAAAAATTGGTTAAGAACCACATGTGACACTAGCATATCGATGTTGTTACTTTTTTTGTGGTTAAGTTGGATCATAATCACGACCTTAGCCCTGCTAAACCTTAAATGCGGCGTTGCCATTAAATGTTGTTAGACAACATTAAAAAGAGACTAGAAGTAAATAATGTCACCACATTAAAAATTTAATGTCACCAGAATTCTTTTCACAAAAGCTCTGATCCTAAAGCCGTAGAAGATGGGAGGTATGACATACCTCCTTTTAAAGAAAATGATTACAAAAACTATATAGAGCAAATTAGAGAAGTCATTAGTGGTGGTGGTCGATTCACACCAACTTTTGTCGATAGTCAGGGATATATCAAAATCTTAGTTTCACAACTCTCAAATGCAAGAGATCAAATTATTTAGGATGATTTGATATCTAAATATTTAAAATCAATATTGTTTAAGAGGGTCGTGGTATCAACATATATCAAATTTGAGCAACATTTGGGTTTCACCAAACACGTGCAAAAAATTCTAATATCAGATCGAAACTCATAACTTTTTTAAAGGTTTGAAATATAACAAACTTTTAAAGTTTTATTTATTTTAAAATGATATTTAAAATTGGTATAAATATAAAAAATATAACTTACATATTTAAAAAAACTATATCAAAGGTTTTACTCTACAAAATAATTAATGACATATTTATTTTACTTTATAAAAATGATGAATAAAAACGTATCCGCAAAGCCCAGAAAAAAGTGAATTTGTCATACAAGGCCCAAAGCCTAAGTTGGTCCGTCAGGCTATTTCTTGGGCCTATTACATCAGCTGAATCACTAAACTGTGCCGTCGTCGTCGGTAAAATCTCCGGCCGCCGTCGCCGTTCAGTTCTGACTTCTGAGGTCTTAACTGGATTGCTTGAATAAACTACATTTCACCGTGGAGCAATCCTTCATCAAAACTTCTCGTTTTGTTTTGTATACATAAGCATTCGACGAAAACCTATTCATAGAAGGAATGGCTCCGAAGAAGAAGAACAAGCAGCAGAACCAGAAAGCTTCCTCATCTTCTTCGTCGAAAAGCAAGGCTCCGTCGTCTTCTGGCCCGAGGCTGCAGATATCGGCCGACAACGAGAATCGGCTTCGGCGGCTGCTACTGAACTCCGGCCGGTCCGTGGCTCCTGCGCGGGGTGACGATTCGCTCTCCAAAGCGCAGAAGGAGAAAAAGCTTCGCACCGTTTATGAGAAGCTCTCGTGTGAAGGCTTCAAAGATGATCAAATTGAACAAGCTCTTTCTGCTCTCAAGGTGCAATTGTCCTTCATCTGTGCTTGCATTTTTATGAGTCATGGCAATATGAATGCATATAGGAGCTCTAAATATTGCAGTTTATGTTATTTTTAATTGTTTATTTATTTTAACTAAGCTCCCTTTCTATGACATTTCAACACTATTTTCTTACACAACTTCAGGTATGCTATACGGATTTGTTTCAGTGATAATTTATAGTTCATATCCTATATTAGATCGTTATATTTCGTATTCTACTTTTTCATAAATACGGAGTAAATAAATAAATTGGTTGTATTAGTGATGATTGTTCTGTTTTAATATACAGAGTATTTATTAGTGATTCTTTAATTCTATAGTTTCAATAACAAGTTGAGTGATAGCTTATTGTATTTGAACTACAAAGGATGGTGCCACGTTTGAGTCTGCTTTAGATTGGCTATGTCTGAATCTGACCGGAAATGAGCTCCCACTGAAGTTTTCTGGTGGCACTTTGCGCTTAAATGAAGGTAAGATGCAACAATATTTCTTTGTATTTGTTGCAGTGGATATATTTTGACAGAATGGGTGTAAATCAAGTTCAATGCATATCACAACAGGTTCTGTTGGCATCATTTCCAATGCAAGAGAAGATTGGGTTCCTTCCACAGTTCCATCAGCTGCAGAAGCAAGGGATGAAATAACAGAAATTTTGATATCTAAAGAACGGAGGGATAATGAAACTTTTGAATCTGTTGAGCGTGCTCAAGCAGATTGGATCCGCCGGTATATGGAACAACAAGAAGAGGTATGATAATTATTTTGTTTTGGGTTGGTCTTTTGCTGAACAATAGTACAATATGCAGTATCTAGTTTATTTATTTGCAATTCACTTTCATTTGATGTATTTTTTGTCATGCCTTTCTAACTTGATGCTCTCCCAATCATGCAGGATGAGTCTGAAACCGAATCTGACCTGATTGATGGTGCCACCTCAAAGCAGGTACTCGTCACTATAATGATCTCATTTAGTCATGAATCACGATTCACGATGACATTAGGACATTGGGGGTTATTCTGTCATTATTATTATTATTATCATCATCATCATTATTTTGTTATTGGACACTGTATCAAGGTTACAGTAGCATATCTTCATTCAATTGGTTGATTCAATACTGAAAAAAATCTTAGTATATGTGTTATTTCATGGGGTTCACTTTATTGATGTTATTCTGTCATTATTTTTTCCATGTATTACCATAATAGAAAAGTTTTGTACCACACCTATAGTGCGCT